TTATTATTTATTATTATACACACACACACACACACACACACACACACACGCGCGCGCGCGCGCGCGCGCGTAAATTAAATTAAAAACATTAAAAGTTACATTTTTATAATATATTTCTCCACTTTTTTTAAACTTTGGTCCATCCGCTATAAATACATTATTTTTGCGAGTAAATGTTGTCGTCTCGAAACTTGTGATTTACGAAATATCATTAACAAGAACAAGTTTGTAAACTGTAAGTTTTCATTTCTTAATTCTATTTAAATTCGCCTATTCCGTTTCTACCATTGATTTTTAATCATAATTAATTGATTACTTACGTAATTGGTAAGGCCAGTCAATTTGATCCCGTTGGCAGCCAGTAGTATGTCGCCGATTTGAAGTTTGTTGGACAGGGCAGCGGGCTGTTGAGGAAAGAGTCTTTTCACCCTGACAGGTCCCGCGGTACCACCACCGGAAACGCTGAGGCCGAGACCGCGACTGCTTTTCTGTAGCGTTACTCGGAATGTGTTCTCTGAAAATTGTTTAAACATTTTTGTCATGTTCCTTGAATAGCGTCAGATTTCATTGAAAATAGTTAGCTTATCTATTTTACAAATTTTGTCAAGTCATTTCATGAATGTGTAAATCGCAAACTAAACGAAATTTTATAATTAAAAATTAAATCTCATGATTTAACTTTTAGTAATTATACATTGTAATAAATTCATTTTGATGGACACTTATTATTTGTGAAATAAATATTGTGAGAAGATAGATAAGAGAAATAAACGCAGTCACGTCAAAATTTGTAAGGATAATCAATTCTAATTAAGTATAGACAAAGAGTAGACCTTGTCTAATTGAAATTCTGATTCCTCGGAATTGCCTCCGGGGTGTTGGGTAATTCATCGTTTCCGCTGAAGTGACGTATGGCCTAATATCTCGCGGAGCTACAATAGGAACAATTACTTTCTGTCGCGGTGTTCCAACGCGTGCATGCACTGCGGTGCGCTGCGTGCATATTTCAACCGCCGTAGCAGCCCTTTCGAGGGATGCGCTCTGTCGGTCATAATTTTCGTGGCACTCACTCGGAGAACATGTTTCTGAAACATGGATAAACACGCGCGCGCCACGTGAGTGTACATACGTCGTCGTCGGCACATGCACATCGTCAAAATTCGCTGACAGTCGCAGCGATCGCACGAGCGATTGTTTGATTTTAGAAACTTTGATGTTTTATGTAACTATGCCACGTGCTGTTTGCATCGCGCTTATGCTTAAAGCTGAAGTATCCATATTGCAAAGCGGAACATTGTGCCACTTAATCAAAGTGCCGCGACAACCGTGGTAAAAACCTAATGCAGAATTCAATTCATTAAAATGTCGAAGCGACATAATGCTAAGGTGACGAAATTGCAAATGAAACGGGTTAATGATAAACGGATCAATTCAAAAGATTCCTTTGTTATGCGACACACGCATATATCGCATTATAATCAAAAGTCATTTTGTTATCATACTGTAAGTCATATTGTTGTTCACTAATAAAAATATAAAACACAATACATATTAAAAATTTTGGTTACGATAGAAATAAAAATTTGAATTTTTTTTTATATAAAATCCTATAAGAGACTCGGTTACGCAATTCGACTTTTTAACGTGAAAATCAATACGAAATAACTTCCAGTTCGGGATGACCCACCTTACACCGGATATTGACCCAATCCAGTCGACATATCGCGCGTATTGTTCACTTTGTTCACTGGGCTCGCTATTCAAATCAGAGCCCTTCCCCCATTTGCCACCTTGCGAAGAGGTAATTTACGTTTGCCGCGTTATTGTCTGGAGTCACACAGTGTCACTCTTTCCAAAAGAGAGAGAACGGCCATTGTTGGAATCGCTTCGAAATTGCAGGGTCCACGTTCAATAGGTTCCTCGATCATTTGCTAAACGCTTCGCAAAATTGGACAGACGATTCGACGAATCCGAGACTGAGGATTTTCCTGTGTCATTCTATATATATAGAATGACACAGGAAATATATATATATATACACACACACACCACATGCGTACATTATTCTATTGTACGACTATTACAATTAAGATCACAGTTGCTGACAAGGTGATTGTACTTTGGCAATTACTAGCTAAAGAACGATAATTTCTATCATACGTGCTTTCATACGTTCTAAAATTAAACTTTAATAAGCAATTTAAAAAGCGAATTACCGCAAAAAAATCTTTTTATAATCATTTATCAAAAATAAATATGCTTGAAATTCTGAGTTAATAAAAGAAAAATTAATTATGTTTCAATCTTAATATTACTATTATAAAAATCGATAGTGCGAATATTGTAGAAAATTGAATAACTTAAACAATTAATTGGATAATACACATTTTTTACCATACATATTAACTTTGCTATTAAAATTATTAAATTAACTCTCACTTAATAATAAACTTGATACCAACTAATCTCAACAGTATTAATTAATCACAGCTGCTGAAACGTCATTTCTCTATTCACATACACACGTATAACTTTCTCGAATTCTCTCGGGAAGCAACTAGAGATATCAACTAGGTATTAATTAATCAAGACTGTCTGTAAGACCTGACGCCAAATGAAGCGGTAAAGTATGTTCTGACGTCTCGAGTTGCATCGCCAATCATGACAGTTTACCCCGCAATGCAACCGAAAACAAATGCGGCACTCGGTGCATTTGTACTTTCCGTCACGCGAGACACGCCGCATTACAAATACGTGAACCACCCCTGGGGATCTCCCATCTGCTTCTGGTCTCCTGAAATAAATGCGACAAGAAGGAGAGTGCATATCGCTTCACGTGGATCGTGGAGAGCCATCTCTCTCTCTCTCTCTC